TTTCCACATTTTTATTTCTTAACCTACTTTTTCTTTCTTGGAAATGCACATATCTCTGGCGATCTAAATGTATATTGAAGCACGAAGAGTTGCACTTTACTTTACTAGTTCGAACTTAAAGGATCCCACGATTTAGTCGTTCGTGACGAGGATTTGAAGCAGTGATCTAAGTGATTGCTTTCGGCGAACATGCAAAATTTACGCTTTCCAATGTGCGTTGGAGCGCAAGTTTATGTCATCATCAGTTGTCGATAAAAGGCTCGCCGTCTCTCACGTTACATGCGCTGATGAAGAGTGCTAGAGAATCAGAATCTCTCGATTCACTTGGGCGAGCAATGTAGATGGAATTGCAGGGTCAAGTATCACCTAGCAATAAGTTGACCAAATAATGCGAGGTGTAATATTCCAAGTAATGCTCCGAGTGGTCGAAACTAAATGTTCTTCAATTAATCTCGCATTTTCAATCGGTTCTTTCGGAGCTGCGAACAATTTCGAATAATATTGCCAACTTTCAATCTCGCAAAGATTTCGGCTCGCCGAAGTTTCCGTGGACCCTTCTTGCTCGAGTACGGCTCTGAATATATGCCAAAGGCGACGGGTCGACCCCTTTTATCTGCGGAGCTCACGTTTCTTGTAACAATAATTCATCGCTATCGCAATTACCAAGAGCGATCGCGTTGCCGGAAGATCCTCTATTACGAATTCCGTCACCGGCGTGAGACAGAGAGGAAGAGCCGATAGAGAGAGGGTTGATGAAGGAGAATGGAGATGAGGGACGGAGCGGAAGGGTAACTCACGAGCTGAATGCCTGCGCAACGTTTGATTGGACGCAGTGAAACCTTTAGAACAATGCCGATGGTAACCAATGTACGCGAAACGCGGTATGTGTCACCCTGTTTGTCGAATAAATATTGACTTCCGCGTTCCTTCCTACCGTCTCGGCCGAAGTAACATTCGTAAGCATTGTCGCGCGGAAACGGAATATATTCTTGGGGGAGGCTATCAGGCCCAATCGCGCGATCGAGTGGTGCTGGTACGTTAACGCGCGCGTTGACGAAGATTGACAGGCAAACGGGACAATTCGTTAATCTTTCGTCACGTCAGATCGATGGAGCAAACGACGATGGCGCGGCAAACGCCGAGCGTTCTCCGCGCCCTCGGAACAATAGGAAGTTTCAGGATAGAAGATGCCCGGGGTTAGCCGGCCGGAGACGTGGTAATATATGTCGGAGTAATTTTCCCGGCAATATTCCCAGAAATTTATGGGTTATTAATTTTATGAACCTCCGGCTAGCCTCGCCTCTAACCGAGCGCACGTGTCTCTCTCTCTCTCTCTCTCTTTCTCTCTCGGTAATGTCTCTATTATGACTGACTGCAGCCGATCTTCCGCGCGTCTCGTCCCCGACTCGCAGATTCATCCCCTCATTATTAGTCGCCGGATTCGGGCTTTACTTCGTTGACACTTCATTACGTCCTATCGCGCAGCCAAAATAATTTCGTGCACGTTGGGACAATTGCGATTTTTAATTATCGCTTATCAAGAGTTTCGGAACGCCCGGTTTGTCAGTGGTATATTCGTGGCTTTTAAATTTGACCTCTCGCACACGAGGCGCTATTTCTATTATAAATTACGATGACTGGCGCATAATTGTTTTGAATTATTCCGTGACTTACCTATTATCTCCTGACAAATAAATGCGCGAATAAATGAGACGCTTGAACGAGAACCTTAAGCGAGTTACGATAATAATCGATTTCATCTGCATATTATAGCTCGCAGCGCTGTCTCTTAAAAGCTGAGTTATGAATAGGCTGCAAATTGGCAACGTATGAATATTCATTTCTGCGTCTAATCTTAAATATACGCTGTTAATTTCAGAAATTGAAACGCTAACGGCTGATCGTTTGCATCAAGTTTCCTTTTTAATCTCGTGCGATTGAAGATCTCAATATGTTTAATCAAAATAGCTGTCTAGCCGACCTGCACTTTGAGAATTAGAGGACGAATATTCCGATATCCGCGTGCACGACATTTCTTTTCATTCCCAACTTTGAAAATCGATGTCCCATCGCGTGAATAAAAATAAACGGAGTTTGCGAACAATACTTCGCGATATTCACTATTAACGCGGAAATTTCACGGCACCGTTCATTGTGCATTAGCACTCGCGAGCGATCGATCGATCCTTAAAAAGGGGGGATGGAGTTCTGATCCCCCCCGACGAGCCGGTCTTATCGGTTTGCATACGGCTTTCGGGCATCGTTATGTGTCGTCTAAGGCGCTCAACCCTATAGTAATGGGGGTGTGTGCAGCTTCAGGCGTACGTGATGCGGTGCGTGGTATTTGTGTGTATTGACTCTCGCTCGTGCAGCGGCGTTACATATTGTCGGTTCACGAGCGCCGCGATACTGAAGGGAGGGTTCAGTCCTACCTAATCCTTATCAGCGGCGGGTTGCGAGATCGCACGCCTTCTAGGTATTGTACTCACCTCTTATACCATCCCCCGCTGCCCGGTGCCAAACGCGTCGTCCTTTATTTCGAGGTAATGTTGTGCGATAACAACCGAAGCTTCGACTACCCAAGGGCTAAACCTGGGATTGTCTCGGGGGAAGGATCGTCGGTACAGTCGCCCTTTTAAAGAGAGCGGGCGATGGAGACGAGACATTGGAACTCGTGTCACGGCAGCTCTCATACTTTTCATCTCATTCTTTATTTTTTTCCCCCCCGTCAAATCGTCGGTGAACATTTTCAATCGACCCGTGACGTTCGTTAAGTAAATTATTATTCACTGCTCTGTTACAAGATATTAGTTTTATAATTAGAGACGGCTTGATATTAAAATATATTTGAGACGATGGACAAAATTATCAACAAGGCATAAAATTACGTTAGTACGATTCGACGTTAAAAGGAAATTGTATTATTATGTGACTTTCGATTGTTACTTCCACGTCCTTTTCCGGGCAATTTTACAGCAGCGCCATTGCCATCGCTGCGTCGAACGCTTTATCTTGGGGTAATGTTGCGTGATAACAACGAACGGGTGGAATCGTCCCAGCGGGACGATTATTAGTGCCGCCTGTAGTTTCTTGAAGGCCGTCCAGTCGATAAGGAGCTACACTTACTACTTTGGCTGGATATTTTTGTCTTCAAATGAATTGTTGCATTAGTTATTCCAATCACTTTCTTATCATTATTTATTTTTAACTCACTTTAATTCTTAAATAAATATCTTGGAGGGATTGACGTTGACTTAAAGAAAGATCATATTTGAAATATCGTTAATATAATTTCGAGTACCTGTCGATTAAATTTCGCAGAGTACTCGTAACATATGGGAAATATTTATTTCTTCCGCGATATTACGATAAACATCGCCGTATGCTATAATAATACATCAAAGGAAAAAAGCGGCGGCAAGTGCAATTGCCTTAAGAGAGTCCTGCGCGCGACGCGTCCTTAGTATCCTCGTTCCGGTGTTTCCTTTCAACAAATATTATCCCGAGCGTCCACTTCACGCGGATAGAAGAACGGCAAACAACCGAGGAGAAGCAGAGACGAGAAGAGAAAAAGTGAAAAAGGGGCAGAGAGAGGGAGGTGGGCGTTTCGTCCTTCGCAAAATATACGGCATAATAAAGTGCATACGTTGACACAGCGGGAGACTGAAGATTTTTAAAAACAGAGAGAAAATAAAAGGAAGACCAGTCAGAATTGGATGTGACCCCATGTACCTACCTTGTCCACCTACTTGTCGTGCCTCTCTTCGAGGCTCACCGCCACTCGTCGAGTCCGACGAAGCAGGACTATGAAGGAGCGAGGAGAAACAAGTCCGTCGAGTAGGATCGCCGAGAGTGAAAGATGAATAGAACCGTTGCACCGTTGCGTGCGTTTTCGAATGATGCCGCCCAGTCGCCGCGGCAAGCAAGAAGAGAGCTACTTGTGAAAAATGGATTTCGACGAAAGCTCAACAATGCCGTCGCTTCCGGTTCTCTGCGTTTGTTACTTCGAGTAACGCTAAGAAGGCTGCACCTTATCGTCGATCGGCGTGATTTCCTATCAGCCATTGCAAATATAATATCGCTCGACGTTTGACAGAAAGAAATTAATCGCGACAGACGCATTTGTAGACGTTGAAAGGAAATTTCACTGGCTGGGAAAATTTCTATCGCTGCTGCAAATTAATTGCATTGCAATTTTCCACTCGAAAGCGGTCTCGCAGTGTCGCGTTATATATGGAATTTTTCACACGCAGGGAGGAAAGTAACCGAAATTTCACGGTAACACAGTTAAATAGTTGTTATGCGAGCAAAGGGGAGGGAAGGGGAGAGAGCGCTATCTCCGTAACGATCGATTTCCTTGAAGCGTGAATTTGCGAATCATCAGCGACCATGGCAGCGATGCGGCAGCGAGACGGGACCGGGGGTGGAAAATAGTAGACTCGAGAGATAGAACTCGTTCGACTCCATAATTTGACTCGAAATTGCTTACTTCCGGCGTAGTTACATACTTACGACAATGTAATTGCATACTTATAGCAGCGGCTTTCATCTCGTCGAGCTCCTTCGGCTGAGTAATGTAACAATAATAGCTGTTATTATCATCATTACGGCGCCTTAAAGATTGTCGTATATTCTTTAACGTTAAAGATCTGGAAAAATAGAAGGCACGTCCTTTAGTTATTTGACCCGAGGGATTTCTTACATTCGCTATGCGATTCCAATTTTTCTAATTAATCTCGTAATCGCGCGTCGTTTTATAATTACATGTATATCTTAGTACGCATTATATTATGCAAAAGTATTTACGAAATGTAGCATACTTTTGTAACGCATATATGTGTTCACAAGGAGTCGAATAATTTTTTATATATTATTTAAAATGTATTTTTAGCACGATATTTTTTAACAGCTATAAATAAAAGTGTTATACAGAAACGTTGATTTTCGGATAGCAACGAGAGAGAAAGAGAGAGAGAGAGAGAGAGAGAGAATTACACAAATTCCTGAAATAATTACTACTTTATTATATACGAATACCATTCATACATCGCAAGTGAAAAATATTATGTATTCGAAGATCGAGAAGGGAGCCCGCTTATTTTCTCGACACATTTTATTATGTAATATAAACTTATGTGTTATACATCGCTACATATGCTTTGGCTTAATCGCTAGTCCTATCGGCTATCCTTACGGCTAGAATGCACAGTGACTTGTACAGAATCATCGTCGTGGCACTCCACTTACTCCTCCATTGATCTGTCATTGATTTGTCATCGTCACGTAACGCTGGTGACGCGGGAAAGGGGAGAGGATGAAAATGCATTTGTGTATATTGTACCGAACAAGTGTTTTATGGGAAATAAGTCTGCCAAAGGATGTACAGTAATAATCTCGCGTGATTGTCGTTCTTTCTGCGGAGAACCGAATGTAAACTGCATTGTACGTAAAAGAAACCATAATCGGTGCAATTAGATATGCGATTGAAAGCACACGCGTGCGCACACAAGTGCTCGCGATAACTCAGATTGTGCAGGAGAAGAGAAAAGTTTTGATCGGGGATTGTGATCGAGTATTGTCAAACTAGGACGGGGAAAAGGTTACGAATTATTATAGACTCTGGCGGAAGCGAACTTTCTGATTCAGTTGCATCGAGAAAGCGAGAGCCAGGCGCATCGAACTCAAACATTTTTATCCACGAATTTATTTGCATCGTTATTTCGAGTGTATCCACTGCTCTCCTCTTCCCGCGTCACAGAAGCTCTCGTGTCACGAAAGCGTTCCCGTTTAGTTTACAAAACGTTTATCCTTAATGCATCTAACTGCGAGACGGCAACGGCTCAGTCCTCCTTCCTATACATATATATTTGTGTGTGTGTGTGTGTGCGTGTGTGTGTGTGTGGGTGTGTGTGGGCGTGTATGTGTGTGTGTGTATATATATACACCGAGAAATGAAAAGCGGCTCTCTTATCGCCGTGCGGTATTGTTCCATGACAGATTTTACAATACGCCGACTAGATTTCCGGTCTCGGGGATTAGCCTGGCTTGATATTTTATCTCAACCGCGCGCTCCCGCCGCCAACGACGGGCTTTCGAGGGATTCTCCCTGGCGAAGATCAGCCGCTAATTATCGCGAACGATCGGGTTTTAACGTAATACGAGAACACCATAAGTACCGTCGTAATTAAGGTTACCCCCGTCGCGTGCTTCTTGCATTCGCGCTCGAAAGTTAGACTGAAGAGCGGTACATCTCTCGCGTGTAAAACGCGTGCCGGAGGCTGTTGTAATTTTAACGACTTCCAAGGACCTCCCTGTGACGAGGTCGATTCTTTCTTTCGAGGGAAATTTCGACCGCGGCGCGGCCATCTCGGTTTTTGTGCCCATTTCCGTCCGGCGGCTATTATTTCCATCGTACGAGGGCTCTCTCTATCTTTTTCATTTAGAGATTAGGTTTCGCGTGAAAAGCAGCTTTAATAGCTTGGAAATTTAAAAATGATCCTAGCACGGGCAGAAACTGTATCTGTATAAAAACGATATATCGTCTTACTTTATTATGAGTATTGTCCAAGATGTGCGGATTTCTCGTACCTTCATTTAACATCGTTTAAAGTATGAATTATTTCAAAAAGGAAAGGTCAGACGTAAGATAATCGTGGAAGCTATCACGTTACGATATCACACGGCAATTTGCAGGTTTCGAAATTTTTACATGCAATCGAGCTCTCCCCGTGTTCATCCCGTTACCATCGCGAAGATTGGCCCATCATATCAGTTTACAGCGGGACATGAACAAACGTAGATGTTATATGCGGCAGTACGCGAGTTTGTACATTTTTCCGCTCGTACCATTCTTTATCACGCGGCACGTTTATTGCGCGTTTCGCGGGAGCCAAAACGCAGCAGGGAAATCATTACTGTTATTACGTCACGCCTGAAATTGATTTTAAAAATTTACACGTTATTTAATTACAGCAGTACACATAGCAGACACAGTTCGCTTTTCCGTCGAAATTAATACTTCAATTGAAATAAAAAGTTGGTATAATACAGAGTTATAATAAATATTTTACCTATGTAGGTCTTCCGTCCTCGTCGCGCGTTTAGCGCTAAACGCAACCGTGCGATTCACGATGCGGATTGAGTGTCCCTCGTTCGCTGCTTTTCACATTATGACTGATTAGGACTATTTCAAACATTTAGCTTGTATCAATCGATCGTATCAAATTTCACGATTGTTCAATCGCGTTTAACGCTAAACGTCCGGCGAGGACAGCAACCACGGACGCTAGATATGAAGGACAAGCCGTGCGTCAACATACGTCGCATACGGAATTCAGCGTTGCACCCTTAGATCCGTCCGGCCAAAAGCGGGATTGCCTCACGTTCGTTCTTCTAACTTAAAAGTTTCGCGTTCTCCGCGACATGCCGGGCAGCAACGCCGAGCTCCGCGTCGCGAGCGCGATTAATACGAGCCTAATAATTAACGATTAGACGTTAGTTATTAATTATTATTGTTAAATTTATGCCTAAGATATAATACACTCACCTAAGACGTACCTGATGTGATATCTTTGTAAAAATTTCCCTACCACGCCACGAGAGACGGACGAGAGAGTGAGAGAGATGCAGCACTCTCGATGACGATGGAGAAAAAAAAAACGTTTGCGAAGCCTGGTCTGCAGGTTTCTCCTTTATACGATATCCTTCGTCGATACTGCCGTCGAGCGAGGAGACGCCTTGCGAAAAACATACCCACGAGAAAACATTGTTGGAATTTTATGCGAGCGCGCATCTCGTGCTGAACTTCGCCCTGACGTTTGCCCGATACGTCCTACGTGGACAGCGATCTTACTCTTCTTTCGCGCGAGATATTTTTTTTTTATCATTGCACGACGTCTCGAAATTGTGGTGTTTAAGATTTCTCGAAAAGGATATGTTTTGGCAGTGAAGTTATAGAGAGAGACAAGCTAAAGGGGCAGAGCTTCAAAATATGATAGTCAGCTAACAGAATTATTATAAAAATTCTTTTTTTTTTCCACAAAGATCTGGTTTAGATATTTAACTTGGTTTTATTACCTTCAATCTTATTTAAGAGAGCCCGATTCCAAATCTCGTACTGTTTTCGCTCCACGTTAGAAAATAGCGAGCCGATAAAAACTTCGTTTTAAGTAACGTAGTACGTTTCGGAAACGCCGGGTTAATCTCGGCGAGACTCCGCTGTTACACGCGATGGTTAAATTTCACCGGGAAATTCTCGCACCTGAGCGTGCAGCTCGCCGATCACCGCACTCGTACCGCGGTCCGTCATTTGTACCGGCGATTAAACTGTCAGCTTAATTGCACCTAACGTTTTTCTTCCGGAGAGTCGGGGCCAATTTTCCAATTATGCCCAGGGCTCATTTCTTTTTTCGATCGCGTGCAAAGACAAGGCATGTTGCTACCCCGTCCCGACAATCGTTAAGTCCGCTTTTAACGCCGAGCAAAGTTGGCGACTTACCTTAATTTTCAATAGCGACACATTATAACGTATACGTTAAAGTAATGCGCAAATTAAGGAAATCTACGATGTTTCATTGGCACTCTCGCAGATGTACCGATATGTCTAGATAATTTTGTCATCTGTCGTGAGATTAAGTTATCGCGAGGCAGAACTCTACAATTCAACCTGTATTTGCGAAACGGATATTCTAAATGGACACGTGTTACTTTTCGCTATTCCACCGGTGATTTTCGCCGTAACTTCGCCATAACAAATTCGACAAACAATGCCGATTGTTCAATTATTTCGAAAACGGAAAAAAACAACGATCGAAACGTGCGCTCGGAGTGAAAATCGAGCCTCAAACGCATTTTAGTGATACACGCGGAAACGCGATACGACGCGAGTCAGCTATTCGAATTTCTCTTTGGCAATCTTTGTGTTTTCAATATTCGTGGTCCGAGTGATACACGCCTATATGTGCACGCACGTATCGCACGACGGACGTGACATCAAACGACAATAAATGCAAGCGAGTAAAATAAAGCCGCCGTATGCGACATCGCTTCCCTCCTACCCGCCGCTTGTTTGCCGCGAAAATATGCAATGGCTGCGAATACTAATTGTAATGAAATATATTATACCGTTCGATTATGTGACTCTACGCCCTGCCTCGTCACGGCCACTCGTTATATCAAACAGGATTTAATAGCAACGGGATTACGCGAAATTACGTCGCGCATGATCATTATAGTCGTCTGCGTAAATGCACACGGTATTATCCGCCCGGCGCCCGTGCAATCGCTGCAACAGCTACCAATTCTTTTACCCTAAAATATCGGATATTGTTTGTGAATTTTCGCGTAACGCATATTGTCAAGCCACGCGGATCGCTACTCTTCCTAAAGTACGGCGTGTCCCGTAAATGCACCCCCTAGTCGTGTCGTCGCGGTGACTCTACTGAGAGAGATATAAAAAAGATACTCTTCTCCAGCTTCATATCTTAATTCGCGTTCCAGCGTGCGTCTCTCGCATAAGTCCCTCCTCGCTCGTCTTGCCCGTCTTCGGCTCGCACGACCTTTCGTCCGTGAGCGAGTCACTTTGGTACACGTGTTCGTGGAAGGGGACCGACGCGGACAATGACTACCAATGATAGTCGATGATCGGCTTACTCTCCGAGCACGGATTGACGCTACCGCACCACTTGGTCTCCTTCAGCGGCGGACACGGTGCGCCACCCCGGCGCGGCTTTATCGTGACCTTCCGCGTCCTCTGGGTCTCGCCCACCCCGCAGCTGCGACTGCACGCGCTCCACGGGCCCCATTCGCCGACCTTGCAATCTCTCGGTGCACCTAGAATCACGAATGCAATTATTCCACTCGAGCGGATGAGCGAGTCCGTGTCTAATCTCGCAACGTGCAGGGAAATCCTCCGAGTAGATAACCGCGATCTTCGGAATTGGTGACCGCAATGTAAATCGAGGAGATTTTCTGGCTTTAAATTTCCCTCGAATGGTTCTCTTATAAATAGATTATTTTTAAAAGGCATTAAAAATGCGCGATTTAATTATTTCAATAATATTAATCGAAGGTTTCCGGTAAACTTTAGATTAAAATCGATTTTGGCTTTTCCGAACAGCCGACAGTTAGATGAATCGCAGTCGCATTATCGATAACGACTGGCTTATAGTTTTGGTAAATTTAACGAACGGATTTGAAGGACTGATCGAGTTGGCTGCTATTTCGCAATCTGATTGTCAGCTCGAACAATCTATTGTTGCGTGTGCACGCGAGGCTCCCGCGCATGCACGAAGAAAACTCTGTATCAGTACGGAAACCGGAACAGCGGACAAACGCGAGACAGAAGGTACAGGGTGGAGGCCAACGCGAATGGGAGAGACAGGAAAGGGTGCGAGGGGACGAGAGGGCGCGCGCGCGCGGAAGCGCTCTTTGATCATTTACGCGGGAAATATGGCTATTGAGAGCGCTTGGCTTTTGCATTAGCTACCATCGATAAAAAAACCTGCACCGAGGGTTTGTCCGGACCTTCCGTTGCACCGTGTCGTTTAAAGAGTTAATTAGAGGCTCGATTAGATAGCAAAAGGGAGGCTTCCACGAAGGTTTCGAAAAACATTTTGAATTATGCGATGGTCGTTCGCCGGATTAGCGGAGACCAACGGCTATCAATAGCCTCGCGCATATAAAATACCGCCGGCTGCATTATATTGTCTCACCCGTATTTTGCTACGCGATTAGAGAGAAGCCGGCTTTGCAAGATAATGTTATTATTATAAACTAATTAAATGGAGCCGGATAACGCGCTACGTCCAAATCCGATAATGCCCAGATCCGATAATGCGAATCGTTGCCTTTGCAACTTGTGAGAATATGATGAGCAATGTGTCGGTACAAAAGATACAGCAGAATCGAAGACATCGGAAGGTGTCCGTCGCACTTACGTGTTCTAACTCGTTTGCCTTTGGATGTCAATCCGTGGTGCTTCATCCTGAATCTGTGCTGGCGCTGATCCGCCGAGTAGGTCACGTTGTTGACGAATGAGTAGCCCGTACTCGACACGTTCGACGCGTTGGCAATCTTCCTCTGGATGTCCTCGAAGATCTGCGCCTTCTGCGTCTCCGCCGTTTGCCTGTACGTCTGGTAATACGGCCAGTCGGACTTGCCCGTCTCGCTGTATCTCGCTTTACCGTCGACGGCAACCTTCGATGTTCGCGGTACCGCGGTCGCGGTGTACCTCGGTCTCTGCAAAGCGTATGACGTGGCGATGCTGTTGATGATCGCCGCCTTGTTGTCCCGCGGTACGTCCGTCACGGCTTGCTGCTGGCCGCTCCCGGTCGTGCTCCAGTATCTGTTGTCAGAGAATTCAAGGATGAGATTGAGAGGGGATGATCGCGGGGTAACTGCGCGGTTGTTTTCGGAGAAAAGCGGAGAATATAAATTAGTTAATTAGAATGAAGGAATTGTGAGTCTAGTTGAAGGACCGTGGAATTCGGAGATTGGAGAATTCGCAAAATTTTCCAAACTTGTGCAATTAGACGGAGAGGGGGTGGGGGAGGTGCAATTAAAGGTGTACCGCCATGTGCGATGATTCGGCGCAGCCCGCTCCACGATCATTAACATTAATATCATTGATCATGTTAATGTTATTCGCATACAATTGTTCTTGTTCCGATGCACGTGTTTTGATGGAGCGAACGCATCGAATGCTTTAACACGAGTCGACGGAATTTCCATTACTGTCCCGTCCATACACTCGCAATCAATACTCGATGAATATACATGCAATCGGTCGATGTGGCGCAGCGGAACGCCACAGTGTAGACAGCGCCTAGACAGTAATAAGTTGGACGAGCGTGTTAGGTAGCAATTACTAAATGGAACTGGCCAGGTATTAGTGGCGCGCTGAACTTGTCGGACCCCATTTGCTAAACATGTATGCATTACTTGTATAAAGCCGGAGTAATGCCTCTCGCGTCGCGAGATGAAGTTGTTAATTAATTATTCCCGGGACAATAAAATTCGCCAGCTCGCAAATAACAAAAATGGCCCGCGCTCACATAATTGATTTGTCGACGATTTAATTCAACCGGCGTTGCAATTGCAGCACCGTTGCAGCTTACGCTTCAATTATAACGAAGAAGGATCAAATATATTTACGTTTAACGATGTAGATATTAATGTACCGTTATCTAGTCCTTGCGAAAATCTACATTTGTTCGAGGAAAAATCCATCCCCGACATTGAGTCGTAGGAAAACGGATGTGTGTGCAATTTAAAACACAATTAATCAACATTAATCTAGAGCGATAAATAGCAATAAACGATTATATGCATCCTGCATATTCTTTCTCCTTTTATGATGTATTAATACACAGTTGAAAAATTTGTGTTAAATTTAACAGATATCACATGTCCCAAACGGTCCACACAAATTTTTGTGTTAATTTAACATAATATGGATATGTTAAAGGATCACACTAATAGTCTGTTAATATTTTAACACAAAATAAATGCAAATCTCAAAATCATTTAACATAAATTTTGTGTAAACTTAACATATTTTTAATGACAAATGAATTTAAAAAATGTAATTTTTACATTTCATAATAAATAGGAATGTATCTTCGGGGAGGTAGGCACTAACAATAAGACACGCCACTTATTTTTCGGCGAGAAAAGTAACGGGCTACTTTTCTCGTAATATAATAATATAATATAATAATAAATAACGGGCTCGAATCTAGGACCTTCAGCTTGCTAAGCGAGTGCTCTTCCAACTGATCTATCCAGGCCCAGATGTAATAAGCCAAATGATCCGAGATCACTCTCTTATGTTATATAGAATAAAATCAACATTTCATTCTGTAAATTTTAACAGATAAATCTTGTTACTAATAATATAGAACATATGTATTGTGTAAGATTACAAAATAAGTACACATTGTGTTGTTTTAACATTTCTTTTCAGTTATTTTAATAATTTTACATTTAAGGTCAATTAACATAAGAGCAATTTGTTAAGTTAACACATGAATGTGTTAACCATTTAATACAAAAATTTTAACGGGCATTTCTTTTAACAAGAAAACACAAATTTTCCAACTGTGTATATATTAATCAAATGGCAATTCGTTTTAACAGAGATTCATTGCTGTTCTCGTTAGCGTATTTGGACTAGTGCTCCAGTTAGACAGATACCTCCTCGATTTTCGTAGCACGAACTCGCCGAGACAAAATCGGTCGTTCGTTATGAACCGTGTACAGGAGTGGTCGTCATAGTTCTCGCCGGTACGTGCGCTCCGACGAATCGAATTTAGCGAGCCGAGCGGAGGCGTGTGGACGCGCGAAAACAATTTCGAGAATTGATTTACGGGTTGGCATGTGGTACACATAAGAGAGACAGAATCAAGGGATGGTCGGGCGGCGATCCCAAAACTTGCGTTTCACGCGAGGAGAACTTATTTATCGCGTCTCTCTCTCTCTCTCCTCTCTCGTAATTCTGGCAGCCGTCTAACTGTGGAGAATTCGCTCTCCATGTCCTCGCGCGCAACGAGATTCCATCGAAAGTGTTTATTCTCGTTCGATACGGGAAGCGTGCGTCTCTCGGCGCGGACAGGACCGTGGTCCGTGCTGTTTGCGATTTAATTACTACACCGAGTCGCAGCGAAAATTTGCAATTCCGCGCGCACTCGATTAGAAAATTCCGCTTAAGTATGGCAATTACAAATTCCAATTGTAATTTGTGACCGAATTAAGCAATTACGCTTTGCAATATGTAGGCAATGCATATGCAATCCGCGCATATCAGTCCGTGGCGGAGCCACGAGACCGGGATTGTCTAGTTATCACGGTTATCCTCTAATTACAAATTTCATTGGCCCACTCGCAGCGGTACGGAGATAAGGCAAAATAATCCCGTGCGTTTTCACCGGGAATATTTTGCTACTTGTTAATGATTCCGTTGAATCTCGTAAGTCGTGTGTAATACCGATAGTCTCATTGGTATTAAAAATACGCCGGCGCGGCCCGTTTAGCATAATCGTATTTTCTGCACGATAATTTGCATGTATGCAGATCCGGCATAAGTTTACCTTTTTTTTTCTACGCTTTAATATTCCTCCAGGAAGTTCCGAGCGGCCGGCCGCCGCTAAGCTAAGAACCGGGCTTATAGGTCTCGCCATATAACTTTTTAATTAAACTGACCTGCCATTACTTTACCGTCTTTCGAATGTCAACCGAGAAACCTAAACGAATACGTATTATACGTACGTCATTTGCTCTCCGCGAGACTTACCGCTTAATTGCGGGATGGAGAGAAAAAAAAACCCCCCGTCGATCTACCACGGCGAACACTTCCGAGTTGTGTTCGACCGAACGTTCGAATGTCGACAATTCAATCGATCGTCGTGCCTAGGGGCGTGAAAACGACTCGTGGAATTTTACAGGGCGGGAAGTCGAAGAATATCTGGGTCTAATCGGCGATATTCTTGGCTCGATCTTCGTTGCGCCCTGCCGGGTTCGTGTAACGACATCGTCTCCGTCGATTATGGTCACGTCGCGCGTTTACAGGAAGTTTGGCGAAGTAGGGTAAACAGTATATAGTTGCCGGCAATCAGTATAGTCACGGGCGTGGGGAGAAGCACAGGAAATTGTCTTCGAGCGTTATTACCTTACTTCGTGCAGCGCGAGAACACCTTTTGCGGAGAACGGAGATAAAACTTCTCTAATCAATTTCTTCGTTAAAGAAAAAACCGGCGGCAATTTACTAGGCTAATATATTTCCGATCGCGGGAGACGCGCTCGAGCCCTCTTGAAATTAACGTCAGTGATAAAAGAGAGAAACACGAATTTCAACGAATCCCCCCATTTCTTGAACGACAATGTGTGTCGGTTTGAGGGTCCGCATGCTGCCCGCTTTGTATCGATTTCCATTCCTCGGGCGACGTAGAACGTATTTGTTGCCATAGCCTTGGCGCTCCCAAAATAACAGGCAGAAGTGCTCCGTTATCACGGGCGCCGAAACTTATCGTGGGTCGTTAGACCCCACGCGAAACCGCGGTCATTATTTCGTCGTGACGGAGAAAATAAGGTATCGCTGCGTCCCGGGGAAAAAATGGAAAAAATCTCTTTATATATGTCTCGATCATGTATCTAATTATATCTTACGAGATCCATTCTTCAGAAATCTGACACCGAGGGGTAAACCGCACTGAAAAAAATTTCTGGTTGAATATGGACGAATCAGATAATTCCTTTAGGATTTACCAGAATTCCTTTAGGATTTACTAGAATTCCTGTAATCCTACAGAAATTCTGGTAAATCCTAAAGGAATTCTGGTAAATCCTAAAGGAATTATCTGATTCGTCCATATTCAACCAGAAATTTTTTTCAGTGCGCTGACCAAAATCACGTACACCAATGCTCACTAATGCCCAGTGGACATTATTTTATCTTATTTTATCTTATTTTACCTTTATAATGCCCCAGCAAGGCCCAAATTAATGCCCCAAAAATGCCCAGTAATGCCCAGTAATGCCGCAAATCTGTACACCACAATGTCCTCAGCGGTTTCCCCTTCGGTCGAGGCTACATCTATTGAGATATCGAGATCCAACTGAATGCTCTAAAATTTGTGGAGTGAAAATACTGCCACGGAGTGAAATAGTCACCCTATTGGCGTGAATATTTCCTCCAACAGAGTGAATATTAACTCCAATGGAGTAAACATTTCACTCCATGGCAGTATTTTCACTCGACAAATTTTAGAGAGTAAGTAGATCTTTCAAGATCTCACGATGTTAAGAATTGGATCTCATGAGATATAATTAGATATCATGATCAAGACGTATGTAATGAGAGTTTCCATTTTTTTTTCCCGAGGTTACACACGCGTGTATTCTCGCGTTTCGTCGTACGGAGGCTTGTTGACAATGACGACACATCGGCAGTTTGGCGCTCTTACGAGGGGATTTCGATCTGTCGCAACGCCGCCGACGCGGTGATTTATTTTAACGTCACGCCCGTTTGGAATTTACAAACGACGGACTTAATACGCGAGAGAATGCGATACAATGGACGCCGGTGAATTAATTGCCCGCTAATGCGCTTGCATTTGACGGCGAGGGGGACTTTGAAGCGTTAATACGCGCACCGCGCTGTTGGATTTTAGTTCCGTCGCACGTTCGATCTCGTTATGCATCTGCGCGCGATATATGCACGACGTGCATTATTCTATAAGCCGTTATATGTTCGTCGATATATTTTTTTTTCAACCGGGCACGAAACGCGCCGCGATATCGCGAATTTTGCAACAAGTTTTTTCCCGCGAATAATTCATTTCCAGCCCG